GATCAAGAACCCTAATAACATCTTAAAAACCTTCATTCTTTGTGTGCAATTTTTTTGTAGTCTAGAACATGTGGCTTATACATGGAAGAAAGCAATTCTTGCAAGTTTCCACTTGGAAAAAATAACACGGGAGAACTTTCAAATATCATAAATTTTCAGTGCAGGAGGCTTGATATTATATTTTTAAAAGCTGAGTGTATGGCAAAACAATATAGCAACTAGTCTTTTGGAGTTGTATTGAAATTTACCAAGTAGCAAATTGGATAAGAAATAGAAGTTGGCCTGGTAACCATCTTGCAACCTTTGTATTAGCAGTTTCTCTTTTTACTTCTCCAGATGTGTAATCTGTATGCTGGATTTTGTATATGGAGATCCCATCCGATTCCTGCCTTGTCTACACATCTACCATGTAAACTGCATTGATGACTGGCTGATGCGATCATTCACATGTCCTTCTTGCATGGAGCCAGTTGATGCTGCTCTGCTCTCCTCCTATGAGACTAACTGAGGCGGCTTTGAGCCCTGCTCTTGTTCATGCTTCCAGGCTGTGGATATATTGGGGGCCTGGGATGTGGGACATTATTTGCACAATTCTGGGGTACACCAAAGAAACCGGTCCCAGCCCCTACGGACACATGCAGCCATGCTGGCTGTACTAAAGGATGATTTGTGCCATATTTTAAGTGTTGCATCCAGTGTATTGGGCTGGGGCTGGGGGTTGGAAGGAAACAAGGAAATGGCAGAACTAAAACTTTCCTTCCACTCTACTCACAATTTAGTTTTGTAGAAAATCAAGATTCTTCTTTGACCCAATTATCTACCCTCATACTTTTGTAAGTCCGTTAAGCTACTGAGTACAGTCATAGGAAACTGTAGTGGAATTCTAACTTGTTAATGAAAGAGAAAGCTGTTTAAAGCTGATGCTGAAGATCTCTTAAGGTTTTACAAATTAAGAGAAATTCTAAGGCTATTATACCAGCTCTGGTCAGTTCTTGGAGAAAAATAATTTAATATAGAAAAAAACCCAGGCATTTTATGTTCGGGCCACTATTGAAAATTCATCTATCAATACAGGTATGCAATGCAGAAAACAAGCCTTAGAAGCTAGCTAGCTAGCTACCTACCTAGTGTAGCTTGAAGCTGTAACATTGCTAGGGAAGGAGACTGAACCCATTTGCTTTTGGAAGTGCTTCTTTTAAAATATTTTTTAGTTGGGAGAAAAGGATACAATTTCCTTGCTCTTTTTCCTTGCTCATCAAATAAGTTTTATCTATTTTGAAGAAGTGTATGGTGCCTCTTTTCAAACCCCAATAGGGCAGATTCTCCACCTAATGCTTTCACCAGACTAGAGGAAAATCACATGGATGTAACAGATTTTGAAAGCAATGGTTTGTTTCACTCAATCTTCATTTGGATGAAGTTCACTGGAAGGAGCAGGGATGGGATAAGTGCAGCTTATTTGTCACAATGTGAAATTTCTGCCTTTCTACTATATGGAAAAAGTGTTGAGAGATATATATATATATCTTGTTTAAAGTGAGAAATATTTTTATGGAAAGTTTACGATTCAGTACGGTAAGATCCTTTTAGATGCTGGTTGTAAGTTAAAGCATCCATATATTCTGAAGAGTGAAGAAATGTTTATTTGTAGGCAATCTACTATTTGTCTTACATAAAGAAGATTTTGTCCCATAAGAACCTGTTAAGGCAGGCTGTTACTATGATGCAGCAAAGCCAACATGTGAAAAGGCTTTCCTAAATCATATTGTTTATTGCCTTGCAAGTACAGAAATGTCAAAGTGCTTTTCTGATTATGTACTGTTCATAGCAAAGATCTAGTGCTTGAAAGATTAAAAAAAACCGGATGTATATTGCATTGAAATGGAAAATAAATAGATTGTCAGCAGTGCCTTCTAAAGTACATACATTGGCCAAGATGACTGTAGAAAACTTTTCTATTAATGAAAGTGAGAATGAGATACTCTGAATCAATTTATCATTGATTCTGTTTTTTCTTTTACCTTTAATAGTTAGAAATTAGTTGCCATGTTGCAATCAAGCACGATTCTATGCAGTAGTAGGATCTGATCTTGCTATTGTATGGCCCTTCTGAAGTTTCTGAATGGAACTCCCAGCAGACCTGCAGTATTGTAAGGAATCTTGGAAATTGTAATTGCAACAAGTCACATTGGATTTGGGAATGAAGTCATATTTGCTTTCTAAGCCATACTACAAATAGTCTTTTATTTGTAATTCCAAAACTAGCAGGGAGGAAACAGCTCAATGTGTCAAACAATGATTTGACCATAAGACAATACAGAATATTAAAGGAACCAAGAGAAAGTCTAGTAATCAGTTTAAGGCAAGAATTATTTATTTTGGATGACCCCCCAGCCCCACAAAGCAAACTGAAAGACCACAATAACTACTTTCTTCTCATCTTTTCAAATGAAACTGCAATTGCTGTTGAGACTTATGTGGTTTATGCTTTCAAATAACAGTGCTTTGAAAGGGCAAATCCCATTAGATGTCAGCATTCAATGGATTCCTCTTCATCAGCCCAGAGGGAGAAGATATAGTTTTCCTTGCCCGTGGTACCATTTCTATGATTGAAGTGAATAGAATCCATATTTTAAAGCAGCCGTCTCCAACCTTTCCAGCTCTGTGGATCAGCAAAAAGGGGGGGGGGGTTTGCACACGCTTGCCCGCTGTTTTCATGGTCCGATTGCCAATAAAACACAAACTGGTAGCAGTCTACAGACTAGGAGACCCATTTTAAAGTACATTTCTTTGTCTGAAAGTCCTTGCCCTATGTTATCTCTTGGTATTGCCTGTATCTTCATTTTTGAAGTTCACCACAAAAAAAGTGGCAGAAGTAAAGATGGAGTTTGCTATTTAAGTTACTAGTATACTCTAGCCAGCAAGCTCTATTGCGTATTAATATCTCCTTGCTGTTTAGAGATACAGGAAATATTAAAATTACTTCATGCAGACCATCAAAATTGGTATTTAGTAAATCATAATCCTGAGGAAAATAACATGGC